TCTCGTGTCATATAGAAAATAATTAACAAATTATATTCAAACATATGTATGTATGTATCTATAAATACACCAAATAACTGGTGAAATTGACTACGAATGAGTATTTTGTTGACTGTTAAGCAAATTATACAATTATGGAAATTATACTTGTAATATTACTTCTATTTTCTATTTCAAAATACAACATCCTCTAAAGCTGAATAATTTATACGAATTTCACATGTATTTAGATACATATTGACACAAGCATATTGAATGTAATACAAACTAATATGGAAATTCATTTCAAATGTCCCTTCATCTTTTAAAGTTTGAGGAAATAATTTAAGATTGCTTTCCTGTTCGCTAGTTTGGGATTTTCATATAAGTATTGCTTGATCTCAATCACGTTCTCTAAACAGGAAAAATACGATTTTTTGAATACCATAGAAACGTATCATAAGCATTCGCTTTGTACAGGAAATACTACCTGCATATCAATCCAATTCAATGGGAACATAACAGTGCACCATTTTATACAATAGTGTGATATACGGTAAAACCTGTTTATTTTTTATTGTATTTATTTATTGCATCTGCTTGATTAAAGCCTAACAATAAGTAAGTGGTTAAGCCTTTTTAATAATACTTTCTTTAGAAGGCTGGTTATATTATATATTCTTGTCAAGCAGGTTTGATTACAGGATTGCAGGAAAGCATTGGCTAATGGATTTAGATGTTATCAGTTCAATTTAAGTTCGTATTTCTTACTGCTGTCCTCTACTTCTTTCTTTTCCAATAGAAGATCTTTGTGAATAATACCATTTCGAATGTTCAATGGTGCACCGGTTATCGCTCTAAGGATTTTTGGCTAGCACCTCTGTTGAATAGAAGAACTTAGCTGTCAAGATTGAGTTTAGAATTTTTATTTAAAAGCCTGTTTAAATTTGCTACTCTTATTTTCATGCTAGCTATTTTGCTGGATATATATTTTCTCCAAGTAGGCTTTCTGTCCAAGTGAATACCAAGATCAATTACATCAGTTGTGGCACTAAGATGTTACTCATTTCAATGGGCTGACACATATTTGGACATAGTGAAAACTTGACAGATAACTCAAAATATTCGCTTCTGAGAAAGCATTTTAATGTCGAATTCCTTTAAATTGTCAGAAGATGCTATATTGTTATAGATTTAGATTTCAAAAATTCCATAACATCACAGCCAGCAAAATGTGAACAGGGACGAGGCATATAAAAATCAATATATAATATTTACGAGCTTATTTATTACAACTGCTTTCACATATATAGATTCTCTAATCTTTTGTGTATTGGAAAATTATCAATTTCTACTTTTCATTTAATTCAGAAAGATATCAAATATACAGCGTACGATATATATTAAAGTTTATTGTTCTGGGCGAAGACGTTGAGAGGTTACCAGCACTCAGAGGATTGTGAGTATAAATACCATGGCAAATAAAATCATATAATAAATGGCTACGAAGTGTGTAACCAAACATTTTGTACTCTCCCGATTTTCAAGAATTATTTTAATTAAAAAATGCATAAAAGTTAGAATTTTGTTGCAAAACCTTAATTTGCGAGTACCGCCTTCACTTTTACGGCATAGATTCTAGTAGAGCTTTTCAGACTGACGGTATTGACTACCTCTCTTCTTGAACTTTTTTCCATCGTTCCTCTTTATTTCGTTGTGTAATAGATCCCAACTTTCCCTTTACAATCTTAAAATTCCAAAACGCGGACCAACGCCGTACTACGAAAATCATCCCCATATCATGATATTACCACCTCCGCGTTTAAAAGTTTTTGCCATGTATCGGGGATTCATTTTAGCTTTCTTCGGACGTCGAACCCAATCTTTTCCATCGCTACGTACCATATTTATTTTAGAGCCATCGGACCAAAGTATATTACTCCACTTTTTTTCATTTTCTTCACTTGTCAAATTGATATGCGCTGAAGAAAAAGCAATCCGATTGTTCCGCTGTCTTTTTGTCAATAGTGAGACTTTCCGGGACAACCCTCCAAAGATATTATTTTCTAAAAGGCGACGTGCAACAGTTCTGGAAGAAATTTCAACACCCAAATCTGTTTAGATAACTACAGAGGACTTGAAAGGATCGCGTATCGATAAAATCTTTATGTAGTAATTATCATCCTGTGACGTCGTTTTTCGTGGCCGCTCCCTCGCATTTTTTTTTTTTTTGCAGGTTTCAAAACAGTAAACACAAACTTTTGGGATCTTTTTATAATTTGTGAAATTTTCCTTTAGGTATAACCGTTATTTTGGAAATCTTTTATAAGCCTAAGCTCTGCCACCATGCAGTGCTTTCCTCGGTCCATTTCTTCTACAAAGAATACTTAATTGTAACAAAACGTCAAGTTTTAACAAATATCCTACAGATTATATACTTACAATATTATTTTTTACTAAATAATGCCTATAATTAATATTTTTATTCCTTGATTCTATTTAAATGATTATAGACAAATCGTTCCTGAAATTTATAGGACTAATTATAAAGATTGTTAATTATTTTGGAACCATCGATTTAATTATATTTTATTGTAACTGTATATAACTCTATATCTATTTCAATTAATGTTCAGTGTTACAAACGACCATTAAGTGAACTGTATGTAACATATTGCGATAATTAAATCGCCACTCGGTAGGAAAATTTAAACCACTGTATTTTTTCATAAAACAAACTCGTACTGTAGAACTTCAAAATTAATAATATGAACGTATGTACATGTATATGTATATTTACATTAAAAAACATTACTTCTCAAGAGAGATTCCACACCGCTTTTCTTAATACAATCATATCCGAATAATTGTAATTACGTACTAGTATAAGTTTAAACGTCATAAACATATCACTTCGAAGCCGATTTCAATATAAAACTGTGAATAGAATTTATTCAAACAAAAGTCATTGATTTCTTGGTAACAAAGCATATAATGAGAGTCATAATAGTAATTACTCACTTATCATGAATTGGAAGGCAAGCTCCCACTTATTTCAATATTGGCAGATGCTTTTAGACCTTGGGCTTATGTGGGGGGTAATGTGGAGTAATTTTCTCTGCGACACGCGCATGCTGAATTTAAAGCAACAATACAGCAGTGAAAACAGCAAATAATTGTGTGCATGAGAAAGATTTTTGGAACTCAAATATGTAGTATATTGAATAGTATAATTGTAAATGTCAATCATTACATGTAGTGGTGTGAGGAAAACAAATTCCACTACGTTTCCGCATTAGCACAGAACGTTTACTTTAACAAAAACATGAGCCTATATCTTTTGAATTTCGCCTCATGCTTTTAATATTTTCTTTTTAGTGTATATAAAATATATATTTCCCATTCCAATTTTGGTTAATATTTCTAAGTAGACTTATTAATGCCTCAGACCAATAAATTTGTGGGAAATTTTGATAGAAATACATAAATATCTTCGGGAAAATTTTAACTTAATAGAATTTTCGTTTTTTTTTTATTTTCCAAAAAATTATCATTGCATCGTTCATAAGTGATGTGAAAAAGCAGTGCGTTCTTGAAGTGAAAAAACTAGAGTTTTCAAGTAATAGAGCAGTAAAAATATTGCACAGAAAAAAAAATTAATAGCTATTGCTTACCAGTATTAATACAATTTTTATACTTTCGCAATTTGTTGTACAGAGTATAATAATATGCCGTATGCCGTCTGTCCAGCTATCTGAGGAAGCTATTACTTAGTTGAAAATGTAGATATTTTGACAAAACTAGGTTTACGAGTTCCTAAGAGGGTTTATATTACAGATGGACAAAATCGGACCATTGCCACGCCCACAAAATGTTAATCGAATAACTTTAAAGTGCTATAACTCAATCAAAAATTATGCTAGGAACTTTGAATTAATTAATACAAACCTAATATTAGGTAGGGGAATCACTGGTTAAAATAATTTTCGTAAACTAAATGGGGCCCCGCCTTCCAATAGAATAAAAAACTACTAAAGTTTATCAACCAGATTAAGTGGAAACATTGTTCTCTAGCCTTGCGTGTTACAGTTGGAAAATGGATGAAATAAGATAATTAACAAATGTAACTAGAATATTACTAAAAATACGATGACTCGCTAAAAAAACGCTACAGGCATTAAATTTTACAGTAATGATTGAAAGGAAGGAGTGCATGTACATTTGTATAAAAATAGACGTAGCATCGCCCAATTTTAGGGAAAATACTGCTTAACCAATTTCAACTGAATTTGACTTTACCTTGACATATTCATGTCACGTTTTCAAAATTGACAAAATCAGACTACAACCAAACATACTTTCCATACAACACAATATTAAAATCCATCTGGTTCTTTCAGCTTACTATATATAAATCCAGCACTAATGAACATATTAATTAATTTGTGTGACATCTTTGTGAAATTATACCTAACATATTGATTTTCGCCCTTTTCTTCTTTATGCCGAATATCTATTAATCCTATATCTATATCTATTATTTATTGACATACTCTAAATTCGCCCTCTATTCTATCCAGAACACCTAGTGCCAACTACGTAATTTCTTGGTGAAACAATAGCCAAGTTAAGGAGTACAATACCTATGGAAACTTGCAGTGTTAATTCGTTTGAATTAGACGCCACAGTATCAAGTTACGAACCATATTATATAAAAATGAAGTCACTCAATCAAAATAGTGGTGGTATATCTTTAGCAATTAGGCTTTGGAAAATTATTTAAAAATTCCGATAGGTGGCGCCTGAACCGAATCAAACCAAAAGCTGTATTTATAATGCAAATAGTTCATTTTCTAGTTATGAAATTTTTAAAACTTTCACGTATAATGAAAAAAACAAAATATGCATATAATAAAGTTTTTAAAATATTCTAAGATTTTTTTTATGAAACTGAGAAATAGTTTTTAGAATACATTGAGTAAAATCTAAAAACGTAATTAAATCGTATTGAAAAATTTGTTATGATTTTTTACATCAACCATGCTGATTTTCTGTATTTACTTTCTTTATCCGCACACATAGATAACAGCTTCATCGAAGACATTTCACACAAGTCCTTTTCGACTGCAGCAGGGAAAACGCCAGAAAACTTATTTGATTTGCGTGCGCTGTCGTGCGTGGATGCGGCAAAGCCACAAATGGACTTACAACAAAAGAACTCGAGAGAAATTCGAAATAATACAGCAAGACAACAGCACGGTTACAGCAACAATGATAATAAGAGTGAGCCATCAATACATGCCGTACAGCAGCATCCGCATCAGCAGCATAGGCAGTCTCGTTTGACACTACGTTCCAATTTCCCGCATCATAACAGTAATCAGCAGCAACACTTTTGGAAACAAACTCCGCTGCAACTACAACAACAATATTTGATTGAAGATCGTCGAAAATTCGACTCCTCACCAACCATACGAAATTCTGAATCCGCGCTGAGAAGGTGAGCTTGACGGGGAGGCCTAGTGCCATCTCCCACATTTGCGAATATTCAAATAAGCTTCATATTAGGGGTTTTCACATGCAGCATTGTTTTTTGTTGCTCGTTAAATTTGTTACAGCTTGTCAACTGTGAATTCACTTTTCTACGTCAGTTGTTAATCGCACACAGCTGATATTGAAAATATATAAAAACTATAGACAAAACGAATAAAAGGCCAAAAATAAGTGCAAAATCGAAAATAATTAAAAATTTAATTGAAACAACAATTACAATTTTACAAAAATTAAAGGTTAATATGAAATGTGTAAGATTATATATTGATCAATAGTATACCCTTTACACTGATATATTTAATGAAAACGAAGAAGATGAAGTGGACAACGCATTTGACGAACTGTACGGCTGGCACGGAAATTAAATTAACAAAAGCTCCTGTTAAAAATCATGCAAATTACTTTTCCAGATGTCATATATATTATCTCAAAGCATAAGTAGTGTTTGACTATCAGTTGAAGATTCGCGATGTAGTTGTAGGTTAATGCGGTTAAACGTTTCAAAAACATTTAAAAAATTTCAATTTCTAATTTTTTTTCGGGACTGGAATCTTCTTAACAATATTATAGCCTACTTACTGTTTCAGCAAATAACGAGTAATTTGTCAGAGTTGCCGGCACGGTAAAGTGTTATTCGTTAAGCTGGCATTTTGTTAAATTTACAAGAACAAAACACATGTAAAAGTTTACCGAATAACGAATAACAGATAACATCGCTGATTGTGAAAACCCCTATTGTCCTTGCAACAGTCATCAACGCTTCACTCACACTCATTTTAAATAAAATTTTGTCGGCTTACCGTCGGTTTACAATTACAGATACAGAATCATCTTAATTATAAAGTTTTTCACAATAGCTTTTACTTGTTTCCGTGCTTCACACATTAATACATTTAACCACGTTCCGATTATAAGAAAAACATTGCGTGACAAGTTTTAAATACACACCTGGATTACGCTAAACTAATTATAAACAAATTTTGGATGATGACTCGCATCTGGGGTGCGAAAAAAAAGACATACCTACTATAGTTTTTGCAAAACATAAAAACGGATACAAGATACTACGAAGCTGGAACAAAATAGCTACACCAGCTTATTAGCCAGATTTTGTTCCTTTTTTACTTTTTCAGTTCTCGAAATTCATATAAAGAATCTTTTACAGAGAATACCTAATGTTTCAAATTAGCTATTAAACAGAATTTAGCTCTTTCGGACGCGATATTCAAGAGGTTTATAATAAAATTCACATTACATCCACATACATAAGTGTCCATCTTTGATTTTGATTGAATGTAAACTTAAAATTAATATTGAATCTCTAACGTACATACATACATATATACAAGTATGTACGTATACAAATTTTGTCAAAGGATTTCTTTACTTTACTAGAATTAAGTCCATTGAAACTGTAGACACAAATTATTCTTTTTTTCACTGTTCCATCTTAACAGGTCCAACGAGGCGAAAAATCTGGAAAGTAAAAAACGAGTTGTCAAAATGCTTTTCGTTTTGGTGCTGGAGTTCTTTATATGCTGGACGCCACTTTATGTGATCAACACCATTGCCATGTTTATCGGCCCAGCTATTTACGAGTATATCGACTACACATCTATCTGCTTTTTTCAATTGCTCGCGTACTCCTCAAGCTGCTGCAACCCTATAACGTATTGTTTTATGAATGCCAGCTTTCGGCGTGCATTTCTCGACACATTCAAAGGGCTGCGTATGAGCAGCGGCACTAGCAGAAGGATTGGCGAAGCAGACTTCAGCAGTTGTGTCAAACGACGAAAGCGGACGACCGGTGGTGGTGACAGTGTCAGCTGCACGCAGTTTCCAGCTCTCGCCACAAACAACTCAATTTTATTGACCAATAATACAATTATTGTCCCGAACATCAACACAGCAATGCAGAACTCACAGATACCACAGAGTAATTGAGGTTATGAACTGAAAAACGGGAAATGGCGTTTGTAGATTAACTGTAGTGCGGGTCTGAATACATATGTATGTGTGAATGGGCTCCACAAAATCGGAATTTCCAACAATTTAAAATATCAACAAATTAGGAAGAGCATTCGGATGCTGCCAAGTATACTCCCGGAATTTTTAAGAATCAATGTCGTTATAAATAAGTCCAAATGTTAGCAAAACTTTATTATAAACAATAAACAACGTTTACTTCGGTTGCAACTACAATACCCTTCACATAATGTAAAGATTCCGTACAACAACTTTGTTCTGACAGTTTATATGGCAGCTATACGCTAAAGCGACTCGATCTGATTCTCGATTCTTTGAAGATTGCATAAGTGCCTTAGGCAATAACCCGTGTCAAATTTCGTGAAGATATCTCGTCAAATAAAAAAGTTTTTAATACAATCACTTTATTCCAATTATTCAGTTTGTACGGCAGCTATATGCTATAGTGGTCCGATATCATCCGTTCCGACAAATGAGCAGCTTCTTGGTGAGAAAAAGACGTTTGCAAAATTTAATATCGATATCTTAAAAACTGAGGGACTAGTTCGCATATATACAGACATACGGACAGGAGGCGAGACTGAAGGGCGGCGAGAAAGACAGACATTGGATTTTTCCGTAGAAACGAGTCAGATGATTGTTCTCTTACAACGCAGGATTGCCAGTCTCGATATTGTGTAGTAATTAAAAAATAAACTTGTATATATTTGAAATATTCTTAAACTAACTCAAAATCACAGTTAAGCTACTTTTAATACTTAGATTTTAGTTTTAATCTTTTAAAGCTAGATGTGTGCAAAATCATGTATACAAATTGGGGAATGGCAACATTGCTGAAATGTGAAAAAAAGAACAACTAACGTTGTCACTACGGGCATAACTTTTGACAAATTTACAGAATGGCGAAGAGTTAGTTGGTCTGAGTTGATATATGAAAACATTTGACACTCTTTATCAGCAACTTTTATTTCGGTGTTTCCCATTCTGTTCGCACGAGCAACAAGAGTTAGCAATTTCCCTTTCATGCCATATTCTAACTTTGTGTACACTTCATTTAGACGGTTTACAATAATATGTTTCTTTAAATAGTTTCCTTTCTTATTCCTAGTTCTTTGATATTATAAACTTCTAAGATCCGACCACGTGTTCCTATTTCTAATGTATACATACCTATTATAATAAAATATTCAATACAGACAAAATATTATTATGCATTTTCCATTTGACCCTTTGCTGAAAATTTAATTTTTTTTATTGTTTTGAATTTTGAAAACATGCTACCCTTTAAAAATATATTAAGCTATTGCATAGCTTCAATCGCGTGCTTTAAGCTTTGAATCAAGAAATTCCGTAACGGAAATGAATCTAACACGATTACGAAGTATGCGCAAAATGTTTGCATACCCTTAGGCGTATTTTTGCATATTTCAAGCGAAACAAATCAGTTGAAGAGCAGGCTGATTCAAAAATAATAATATTTAAGATAAAATTTTATGAATGACTAATAAAAATATTGAATTTAAAAAAATTTTAATGCGAAAACATAAATTATTCAATATTCGGAGTCATAATATTAGTAACATTATTATTAAGCTATGCTTTTAGCGCAGGCTTTGAGCGCGGCGACCAAATCAAGGAATTCCGTAACGAAAATAAACCTGTATCTGTCAACATGCAACATATGTATGTAAATATGTACACTAATTGATTCATGTGAAATGTTTATGTATGAGCATGCATATATGTATATCGACGCAGATTTTGCGAGCCATGAAAAATATTTTAGACTTGTAAAATATTTTAAATCGACAAGAACTACGTTGCCGTTTTTGGCACTTTTTTTGAGTTTGCGGGTTTGAGGGATTGACACTTTTCCCGTCCAGAAGGAACATCTGAAAGTTGTTTAATTTATGATTTTTAGCTTTTGCCATCATCGCGAAAAGACGCTTGCAGGCAAACGCAAGTTCGGGGAGTGGGGCTATTTGGCACAATTTTATACAAGAATCTTATCTAGAATGTTTCCTATTTAAGTAGCAAATCCCATTTAATTTTTTTTATTAAGTTAACCATCTACCTTGTTAGTTTTCTTTTGTCTAGGAGTTAACGGAAAATTTATATATTATATTTTAAGCTATTGCATAGCTTTTATCACGGGCCTTGATCGCAGTGACCGAATCAAAAAATTCCGTAAGGCAAAAAAACCTAGCACGATAACAAAGTATGAGCAAAATGGTCGCATCTTTCAAGCGGAACAAACAAATTGAAGAGCAGGGTGATTCAAAAAGAATAATATTTTAGATACAATTTTTTGAATTTTCCACTTATCTTAGATGGCGATTTTAACATCAACTTCGCTGATAAAATCAGAGCGATTTACAACATTTCTTTCGGAAGAAATGAATTTGAAAATGAATAAGGATCCACAAGGATCCACAACAAAATATAGGACTACCATTGACGCGATATTTTCCAGATATTTAGAGGATATCAACTCTCAAACTTATATTTCATAATTCAGTTACCAGAAACCTATAGTTCCAATAATAAAAACATTTTAAACAATATTAACTTCTCATTTATTAAATAAGAGAAAACAATTTGTTATCTTATCGGTCGGCACGCTGAAAAAGAGTAATTTGAATTAATATCAAAAAAAAAAAAAACGAAATAAAAACAAATATTATAATTGCATAAGTTGATAAAAAATGCTACGCAATAGCTTTACCGCGGCAGTCCCCTATCCTATCTCTTAAGTTGGATCAAACTGGACATAGAGTGCTTAATTTTATTAAAATCGGTGCAGTAGTTTAGGAATCAACTTGACACGTAATTTGTATATACCATTATGTATATAGGTACATACATCCAATAGATACATAATATACTAATCCGACGTAAACGATACACAATTATCCGATATAGTATGTATTTGCAACTTATACAGAACAGTGACGAAATGTACATCTGTATACGACTGTGTTAAGTGTGATGCGCAAAGGTGAAATAACATCGATCAATAAAAACGTACCACTGCGCTTGGAGTCAAGAAAGGAACACATTTTTATGTTAGCGTAATAATTTATAGATATATGCGTGAATTGAGTCGACTAAGCCATGTCTGTCTGACTTTCTGTATATATACGAACTAGCCCCTCAGTTTTTGAGACATCGATCTGAAATTTTGCACGCGGATATCGGAAACGCCGATATCGGACCTTTATGGCATATAGCTACCATACAAACTGAACGATTGGTATCAAATGCTTATATAGACAACTGTTTCATTTCACAAGATATCTTAACGAAAATTCACATTGGTTATTGCCTAAGGCAATTATGTAATCTATGATATATATAATAAAGAATAAAATAGATTTATTTTAATTAAAAAATGCTCATATTATTTATATTTAATAGAAAGTAGAACATAAAAAAACGATACGTGTGGCACTCGGGGTCTGCAGCGGTAAAGCTATTGCATAGCATTTTTTATCAGTTTATACAATTATAATATTTATTTTTTATGCAGTATTTTTTTTTTTGATAGTAGTTCAAGTTTTTTCTTTGATATTAATTCAAGTTACCCTTTTTTACGTGGTTGCCCGAATGATAAAAATGTTCTATTCAACTGATTGGGCTGAAATTTGAATATGTTATTCTACTCATCAAAAGCTCTAAGCAGGAACTAGAATCTTTTTTTTTTATTGCTAACTTCAGATTTTTCAGCCCGATCTATACTTTAACAAAATTTTCTTTTTTCTAATTCAACCATTTTTTAATTTTTCAACGAAATTTTCTAAACAATCCATCCAACCAGAATGACAAGATCACAGAACAATAATCTTTTGGATTTTTCTATTTCAGATGTGCTCAAGTGACCAAATCTCCGGGGCCAGCCACGTCCTTTTTTTGAAACGCTCAGTTCAGTGTTTCGAAACAACAAATTAAAAACAAAAACAGACAAAAATAATTTTTTTGATCAATCTGAAAAGCTGAATGAATTTTATTTTTTCCACTCAAAATATTCCCAAAAAATATTCCCAAAAAACATTGCAAGTTAACAGACTACTACCGTAAACTTCGATCTGGAATCCGAGTGAAAGTTAAAGTCAACAAGTAATACTCGTAAAGGGTTTGATTGGCAAAATGTAAGAGTGTGCAACATATCGTTCTACCAACAAAAATTCATTGCTAAACAAGTACGGAAGGGCTAAGTTCGGGTGTAGCCGAACATTTTGTACTTTTGCAACTTGCAACGATCAAATTCATTTTTGCAGGAAGTTTAATGCTTTAAATATTGCGCCCGCTCAAACTAAGCTGAATCAACCAATCACAAATCTGTCAGAAAAGCTTTTTTAGTACGAAATGTCATCTTTTTAACGCCATCCAGCCCAACCCGATCGGACTTATACATCGCGAGATACAGTTAAATAATGCCATCTATTGGAAAAATAATGGATTTATTTTTATTACACCTAATATTATTGGTCGTAGTTAGCTTTAGTTTTAAAACTATATTTTACTTCCCTTCCTTTAAAATCTAATTCAAATAGATAAATGATAAATATAATAGATAAAAAAGCCTAATTAATATTATACTTGTATATTGGTTATATTGATTGATTATATTAAGAATATGAGGTTTGGACGAAGGTCTAAATTAATTTCATTCATATTCAGCACAAAACCACAATTTTTAAGAAAGCTTGTCCACACAAATTCATTATAATTTCACACATTTTGACAAATCGAAACGGTTAAAGACAGGTGAGAAGACGGAAATCATTATTTAGGGTATATTGGGTGCAGTAGAGATCTGGGTTGCTTTCACTAACTTTTGACATTGCTCAGGTATATTTTCAAGCAATTTTAAAAATAATATATTATATCTTATGTAACTTATACACTGGCCAACATATTCAGCATAGGGTTTGTTAGAATAACGAAAGTCAATATAGCTTTTATCTATTTTTTCCGTAACCACATATTATTAACAGAAAACAATGATCTCTGAGTTTCATTAAAGTACCTCACGTACCATCACCACTATATGCGGAATAAAGTAAAGCGGTGGTTTTAAAATCCTAAGGCGCCTAGGGCAAATTTTACCTGATTTTATTCATTTTATGCACAAAGATACATTGTTATAAGAAAAACAGGCTCTTTCAATTTAATTAATATAACTCAGATATTGACTGATATTTGTGAAATAAAGTCAGCCGGAAGTTCGAAAATTTTTTCTTTACGGTATATAGTATCTAGGTGATCCGATTCCACCCACTTTTGGCACACGGGTCTATTATTATTAGATAAATATTATCTCTTCTATATCTCATTGGTTCTTAATTTCTATACTGGAAAGGGAAAGAATCAGATGGTATTTAAATTTGTGTTTCATAAGAAGTAGGAGTGGTTTTAGTCCGATCGCTTATTTTCGAACTGCAACATAAGAATATCAGAATAATGCTACCTACTAAATTTGGTTGAAATTGGATGAGCAGGTCCCATGATATGGGTTTTCACCTAAATCGTCAAATTTTGACAACGGCTCCTATCCTCTCTCTAATATGATCTCTGGTGTAAAATTTTAGATCTCTGGCGCATTTATGGTAGTTATTGATTTATCGGCGTGGCTGTGGTCCGATTGCGGCTATCTTCGAACTCATCTTTATTGCCAGGAAACACGTGTATCAAGTTTCATTAAGATATCTTAATTTTTACTCACGTTATTATTTGCACAGACAAACAAACGGTCGGACGGATAGACAGCCGGACAACCGGATCAACTCATCTCGCCATCCTAATCCTTTATATACCTATATAAACCCTATATCTATCTCGATTAGTTTTAAGTGATACATATTACCGTTAGGTGAGCAAAACTATTATACATGTTGTTACAGATGTTGCAAGAGTATAAAAATTGTATATTAGGTATATAGGGGTTTATGGGATCTACGGGATGTATTGGCATTTTAGGCCCAAAGATACATACATTGTTATTAGCAAAACACGCTCTCCCGTTTTCGCTAAGATAACTCACATATTGGCCAACATATGCGATACAAAGTCAACTGGAAGTTTGAAAATCTTTTTAGCTAAGAGAAGCCTTCATCCGATCAACCCATTTTTGACATACAGGCATACTGTTATCAAGGATTTGCTACGAATTTCAATACCATATCTCACATTCGATTAAAGGTTCATAATAGGAAGTGGGGTTCACATATTCGGTATCTGGGACCTTTAACAGTTGTAGTATGATCGGTGTATTTAGGCCTCTGCTTTAACTTGTGGAATTAGTCAAGAATTTTCGGGAACATGGTTCCATGCAATTTTCTCAAATGAACACACACACTGACCGACATATGAGGTATTACATGTGGCATGTATGTAGATTCGTTGACAAATTTTACATATTTTCTGCATTGAACTATAATATATCCAATATTATACGTTCACTAAATTTTGCTAAGATATCTTACATATTGACTGATTATACGGTATAAAATTCACCAGAAGTTCAAAAATCTTTAGTTAGTTTAGAAGTATTGCGCCGATTTTATTCATTTTTGACCCAACGGCACATATTATCAGGAAAAGATTTACCGATATTTTCGGTAAAAAGTCAGCCATATTGCCTGGGGTTCACATATTCGGTATCTGAGGGCTTGAACAATTATTTTCCCATTTTGACCATTTTTAGACTTGAGATTGCATGACTTAAAGACACAACTTTGGCAAAGTTTTATCTCGATATATTCATTGGTGCTTGATTTGCATACTGTAAAGTGATAGAACCATATGGAATTTAAAATTTCGATATACTTGTACGTGAATTAGTCGTCGCTGTGGTTCTATTTCATCCCGTAAAATAAGAATGTTAAGGTAATGTTAAGTATTGAATTTGGTTGAAATTGGTCTAGCAGGACGTGAGATATTGCATTTCACCTAATTTTGGGCGGTGTCGCGGTCATTGTCCAAATTTTGATACTGACTTTTATGAAGCTTTCTAATACTCTACCTTCTCGGAAGTGAAATTTAATGTCTCTGTCGGATTTAATTATTGATTTATCACACTTTTAGTAGTTTTCGACATATCCGTTATATATGGAGTGGGCGGGGTTGCCCCTCCCCAAATAATTCGTTATACTAAATAACAGTTTTCTATCATATTGTGGAGCTTAGCTGAAACACTATGACATTTCGATTAATAGCGTTTTGCTGGTGTGGCAGTGCTCCAATTCCGCCAATTCTATAAAAACCTATCTTGGGTGCTATGAAATTCATATAGCAAGTTCCATTAAGTTATCTAAATGTTTCCTCAAGTTATCGTTTGCACGGACGGACGGACAGTCAGTCTCCCGGATTTCAACTCGTCTCTTCATCCTGATCATTTACTCATTAACTCGATTTAGGTGATGCAAACAACCGTTAGGTGAACAAAACTATTATACTCTGTAGCAATATGTTGCGAGAATATAAAAAGTAAGCAAAAGTGTTGGGGCGATATTCTTCCAGTATTGTGATTGTAGTCTGTATTGTCATTACACTGTAATAAGAAGTCATATTACGAATGTTATCCAGAAAATTGTTTTCAAAGTTAATACAAAGTTAATAAGTATAGCAGCGGCGCAGTTAGCGTAGCCAAAAGTGTTTATACTAGAAGCCATGAAGTATGTTGTTGTTGTGATAAAAATATTCTCCAAAATAAGTTTGAGGGTTGTAACCTAATTAATAGTTTTCGACTAAAAATCTATTCCGTTTATATACACTTGTCGTGGGAACGAAAACCAGTGGCAAGCATGCATACAAACCAACCCTTTGCATTGCCTTTCAGAACTAAGTATGGTATATGTCTAGCATAATAAAGTTTAGCGGGAAATATCTAATGTTCCTCCGAATCATTTGCAATATCAATCCATTACCGATACAACAATAACGCGCTGTCGGTAGTATTTAACTTTCGGTATTAAGAATCTCCCATTATACGGTGGTTTTAAGTAGTTTTTGTAATACATATTCATTGATGTATTACATATTCTAACGAAGTCACCTGTCACAAGTCGATAACAGCTCAATTTCGGAAAGTGTCTATCGCCAATCTTACGACCTTGACCAGTTTATTGCCAGAACTCAAAATATCGATGGTGTCGGTTTTCGAAGGTTTGCCGCCATAGTAGTAAATTTACAGCAGAGTTTGTGTAACGCTCAAGGATGCTTTCCAATAAACACTTGCAACACTTTAATATTATTTCTCATCTCCAAAATTAAATACAAGTTTAAGTTTTTATCCATATCTAATCATTTTATCTTTATTTACGCTCATTAATTTAATATATTTGCAACCATTATTAACTTATAATATGTATGTGTAGGTTTACAAATTTCAATAGTCATTTAAAATTTACACATGATTTACTTTCTAATACTTGCTTTAACTATTTATGTATATAGTATAGATTACAAGTTGTTCTCTGCTAAATTTTTCATACAAAAAGTGATTCTCAATTGTTGGTGTTTTAAGCTGATACATATACCATATATTCCATAAAAGCTATAACATACAAATATACTCGTACATAAGGCGTGTGTGGTGTTTTATATACTATACATTGGTTGTTTTTCAAAATAGTGTTTAATAACACTAAGTGACGAATTGCTTTTAATTTCGTAGTTATATCGCGAATATATTAGAATTTAAGTTTAATTTTTTACTCTGTGGGTGCATTAATGGTGGCATTGTTGCACAATAATGTGTATAGAAACCACTTGTACGAGCTATTATTTGATCAAAATGATTTTAGATCTTTTTTCTTTCATGGAAATAAAAACCGATACCAAGTGTGTTTACATTTTAACCGTTACGCTACAATATTTTCTACTTTTAGACACAAAACCACACACATTTACAAATGCAATAGTTAACCATTTGGAGGCAAAATGTTATTGATATGACTGTTTTTAGATACACATAAGTATTCGGCAACTAACGACATTTTTCTAATTTTCATAATTCATTTTCATTGCATTAGTATAATATTAAGAATATTGGGAAATTAAAAATAACTCGTCTTCACTAAGCGATGCCTACAAAAATCTGCCTCCTATTCATTGCGAAAAACAGATACTTAGTCTCATTTCGCCATTGGCTGAAGAACTCTTTTAAACACTCTTTCAAATTTCACAATATCATTATAGAAAATATATTTATGAAAATATATGACTGTACACACACTTTGTTATAATTGCACTGAAAGCTTGGCCTTAAGTTGTTATCACTGTTTATTTATCGCTTTCTTCCCCTTATACAGTAATGGTTTTAAGAATTATGTTTAAAATATGGGCATATGTGGTTTATATTAGAAACTGTGCATAACCAATGTAAAATAAAAAATATTAAAGAGTTGATAATTTTATTAAAATATATTCACAACACTGTAAAAAAATGTATAAAAAAAAAGTGTTTTAAAGTAAAGTTAAAAATATTTAAACAAACATTACAAATCTACGTACAAGAATTAAAATAAGTTTATTTATACAACTTAGCGCAGGATCGCTTTGTAAAATTTATTGGTATATATATTTTTTATTAAAACAGACAGTACTAAAAGCATTTCCCTATAGTATAATTGATTTTAGAATTGAAAAACAACACTCACATATATATTATATAATGAAATGGACCCCATATATATATATGTATATGAATATATCCACTGCAACATCATCTTAGTTGTAGTTTACCTCACATCTTGTCACACTTGTAAGCAGAAGTTGTCTTTTCAATTATATTTTTCTGTGTTTCACATTTTAGTTATCTTTAAACTGTTTTCGCTTTTTAGTTGAAACTGATTTAGTAATATTAATATGTTTATTACGGTACAATAAAACACAAATAAACGATATTTTCTGCTGAATACCTATAATATATAGTACCAATAGATTTGCATTTTCATAATGTTATTAATAAGAGGAGAAAGATAAAGATTAAACTTAATTAACGAAATCTATAAATTGCTCAAAACATGCAGTAGAATTTAAAGATGCTTTTGAAGCTTTCTAAGACGCTGGGAATAGGGTGCGAAATTTATAAATACATTACATATGAATCGTTGCCGCTGTGTAACGCGCCTCACCACGCCTCCATGACCATTGACTCGGGCGGTACTGAAAAGGTTATAAGAAATCGATATTTAGTATAGAGATGCAAGTAATGGAGTAGATGATAATGACTCTATAAATATGATTACTACTTATGATCCAATGTAAAATAGATTAATTAAGTATCAATGAAATAATACATACAAAATGGTTTATTTTAATACTATTACTTTATTACTTTTTTAGTTCCAAAGTGAAAAGACCTCGTGTGAAAACGTTTATCACTACAACCCCATTTCTTATAGCTAAACACGATAATTATCGCGCAACATGTTGTACAGAATATAATAGTTTTGCTAATCGCAGGGAGGGACATTTGTGGTTTGTAAATTTTTAAAAAGTATTCGTAGCGCAGACCCTAACTTGCACAAGACCAGTCGATTCAAGACCTCCTCTGACAGTATGTAAAAGAGTGAAATCAAATGACAGCCCCGCCCACTTATTATATAACGGTTATGTTGAAAACTAGTGAAAGTACGATAACTCACAAAATAAATAGGGCAGAAGCATCAAATTTCACATGCTATGTGACACAAAAAAGCTTCATAGGAGCCAGAGTCAAAATTGAACAATGGGCATGGCATTGTCCACCTTTAGGTGAAATCCTATAGTTTAAGATCCACCAATTTTAACTAAATTTGGTGCACAACACTACTGTCACATTTTTATGTGAGTGTAAAAATAGACTAATTCCGACTACAACCACGCCTACTTCTCATATATAACAATTTTAAATACCATCTGATTTCTTCTTTTTACAATATATAAATCAGGCACCAGTAAAACGGTGTAAACGGCATAAGGAAATAAAACTTTGCAGAAATAGTGCAACGTCTTAATATTGTCGATATCTGGTCAATACTTACCTTAGCATCGATAATCTCGACCACTTCCTCTGCTATGGCTGGTGAAAATTAAGCATTTTCTTTCGAAAAGAAAATTAAGTTTTCTTAACCACTTGCTGAATATAAATGAAATCGGTTTAAACCCCAACCCCTAATATAATATTAGTATAGTTATATCAGACTAAGTGCGTATATGACCTACAGTATTAGTTAGATACCACATATGATTGTGATCCATTCATAATTTCGTCGAATAATGAATATTGGAAACGAAAAACTGAATCTAACCTTGTTCATATTAGAAGAAATGTCTGCTAAGTAACAGTTTGCCGTTATTAATTTTTGTATCCGAATAACTGATAAAAGTTAAATGTATTTAATATCAAAATGAAACAGAATCAAAAAGTAATATCATTACAAAAATAAAGGGTTCTCACATAACTAATTACTTTACTCAATTTAACAAGAAATAAAAATTGACGTTATGTGGTAAATGATGCATGGGGAACTTGTACAAACCTGATGCAAGTGCTTTGACTGCATGTAAATATAAAATAAATTAGTAATAAGTCAATATGAAGAAGATTACTATTAAATAAAAATATTATCAGATTGATATTTTTGCTATATATATAATAAATTAAATATGTATATAAATAAAAATAAAGTATATTTTATATCATATTCCAAGTCTCACCGATTAGTTTTTTCCTCTATTATTAAGAATATCTAATATATAATTTCCACATTCCCCGTTTTATTTTTGTTAACCGATCTCGCAAATGTGTAAAGCCTTACATACCTGAATAAGGAGTTGACCGCTTTTAGTGTGTGGGTTTCTGTACGCATAAAACACCCATAGCATTACAGTTAGCACTAGGCAGATGGGCACTAAGAAACCGAGAGCCAACCCCATACTTTTCGACTCGGCGTGTGCTTCCAAGGCTTCATTCGTTACTTTCGCCGAATGGTTCCCATCATGCACTGGAGTAACCGTTGCGCTATTCGTGTCACTTGCATGTGTGCTACTTTCATGTTGGTTGTTGTTGTTAACACTTTCAGTGGGCACTTTTGTTGGAGTAGTGTTCGCACTGGCATTATTGTTGCTGCTGCCAGTTGCATTGTTACCTTTCTGACCAAGGGCAGGGCACGCAGATGTATCAACGATTTGTGTACGATCACATCCTTTTCAATACAAAACAAAAAATAAAAATGTAATTGATTACGGCATAACAATTCTCATTTAAGAGGTCATACCCTTATGTTGCCACTCTTGCCTCTTACGATCTGTTCCGTTTGAACACCTATTTAACGTTGGACACCATGCGCACTGAAAGTAATTCAGATTGGACATAAACAATTAAGACTTAAATTTGCCTAAGTGGACATGAACTTAAAACTTACATCAAATGAAGTCTTGTGATTTATGCAAGCTCCGCAGTCCTTATAATCAAGACAAGTCGGTAGAGCTTGTAAGTAAATGATAGTTGCATTCGATATGCCGTTATTAGACAAATTTATGCGATGGTATTCGTAAATGGTTTTCCTGCGTGTATCTAAATGTAAAAAAAATATATTTTAATGTGATGCATGTGATGAGTTAACATTATATAATATATGCCCCAAGAAATAGTTTACTTACAGACAACGGTCTTGTCAAATATATAAGCGTCAGAAAGACCCACTTTAACGGGATGGTTATCATCTTGAATGGCATTAATATCAATTGGAACGTAGTAGTAAATGAAAACAATATTGCCATTGTTATGGAGGGTTGCGCTAAAGGTGAACTTTCCTACGTCTTTTTTGTCTTGCAGCGAAACTTTCTCCCAAATAACAGTGAAGGCAGTGCCTTTAACGTGAAAAATTATAACAGTCATGATCTACAATTTTGCATTAGTTTTCGTACCGTTATCTCTAGTGCGTACAAATGATTCATTTGATAAACTTGTGTCAAAGTTAGCCATTAACGGTGCAATATACTGCGTTGCCGCTAGCCAAGAATGCACATAATCACCAGTGTAGAGGAAGCCGCCTGTAGCTACCGTAACATTTCGGACGGGATGACCATAGAAGGGGAAGTCGAAGCTCAATTCGACAGTCTAAGTAGTAAAAATATATAAACAAAAACATTTCATTTAGTATTTGTGTTTAATACTAATAACGTTTTCATCTTACTAGGGATACATTTTATTGACTACTGAACTGAAACTCTTATATGTTACTATTATCATAAATCAAAATATGGTAATATTAATAGCATCTGCAAAATGTCTGCATCGTTGACTATTATGCTATATCAGTATTAATTAGTTTACTCTTACCACGGCACGACGATGGGATTGCGAGAGCACGGAATTAAATGTAGAGTTCTTGAAAGTTTCCCACACTCGATCTGCTTCTGCCTGGTCGACATAAATGGAGCTGTTATAGTAGATGTGATGATCCTAACGAAAGTAGTGTAATGCAATTAAATATCTAATGTTGATATTGTTGTTTTCCAAACAAACTACTTACATTGGTAGCATTGACTGTATAATTAGTTTTTTCGATTTCACTGATAGTTTCGTTATCAGGCACATCTATGTTATCTATAAGTTTTTCTTCTGGCGTTTCAGTCGACTGATCAATGCTTTTAGGTTCCTGCAAGAATGTGGAATTTTTAGCTTCCGTTGGCGAGCCAGCCACAGCACCTACCGACGACTGGATGGGAGCGGAAACAATCGTAGTCTTTGGCTGTGATAACTGTAAGCCTCCATCCCTCCGTTGACCAGTACCATTTACGCCTAATAGGGGTATGTCAGCTGCTTTATATGGTACCACAATAGATGATATATTGGATGTTGCGGCGGTTTCCATCGGCTTTTTGACATCACCGACCATCTGTGGCACACTTTCATACTGATCTTTAGCATAAATTGTCGGCGTGTCGCGTTTTTCTCGCAATTTCACCAAAGCAATATACGCGTCATTATGCGAACTTAACTCCGGAGACACCCTGTACAGCTCAGCTGGTTAAATATGAGAATAATAACATTTATTTAAATTATTCAAACAATACTTGAAACTGTAAACTATTATTATTATCTTTCTCTTACAACTTTTTGTTTAATGAAATGGCTTCTTGGTGAGCAACTTTTAAACACATACGGGTGGCCAAGTAATTAAAAACAATTTTGATTCGCAATTTTTTAATATTTAAACAACTTTTATAGAGAAATAGAGAAGGTTTTCCACAAATTATAGAAAATCTATTATAAACACAATAAAACACGAATATTTGCCGAAAATGGCAAAACAAACGAGTTTCTAATTATTTGGCTACCAATACATTTATGTTTGTATTTGCAATTGTCAATGTACTCGGTTAACGTAAAATCATTTCCATAATATGCTACAAATAGAAAATCGATATTCCGCGCGAATATGTGTTAAGATATTAATAGGCAACTATTTCTACACACTATCTTCAGACAGAATAAAAGCCCTACTTAAACACTGTACTGTTTATATGTAAATGCGTGAAGCATTTAAAACATAAAAGAAGCATGAAACTGGCAACACACAATCTTGTTTGTGCGCTCTATCTTTCTAGGGACCTTTAATGACCTTTAGACTCAAAATCCAATACAGCAAAGTGGAGCGACGCTGGCCACAAGGAATAAACACCGTTTCGTAAAACCGATTTGTAATAAAACGCGTATTTTGTTCTGCTCTACAAAGGAATTTTAATAAGTTACAAACTAAAAATAAATTCAGAGTAAATACACAAATTAGACTCGTTGCTTGGAGAGTCACTTTAAAATGTTTGTGAAAATTAGGTGATCCGTTTTTAGAGAACAAATTTAAGTAATAAATTACACATTTGTAATTGAGGATTCAACACATTGAAGTTATGATCATCAAAGCATTTTTGCATGTACAAGTGTGCACCCTTGGTTTTTATCTTAATTATATATGCAACGCGATGCGGAATACTGAAAGCAAAATTATTTTCCTTTTATTTTCTCTTAATCGTTTCTAAAAAATTTGGGTTTATTTTTACTTAATCTTTCTCTATTTTTGCGATCCCTCAGCTCCTGACAAATTTCAAAGATGTGTAGCACATTTTGTAGCTACAATCTAGCATTTTATAAGCGGCTGTGAACCATTTGACTTAGCCAACTTGCTTAATTAACTGTTTAAATTATGTTTTTTTTTAATAAGTAAATTTGCTTAATTTTTATTAATTTAAAAAAGAACACTCCAATCTATAAGCAAAATGTATATACATACATATGCACAGATGTTCTTTGGTATGTGCGAAAACTGAATAATTGACTTATGAAAAGAAAATGCAAATAATGAGGGAAATAATAATGAAATTAGAATTAAAATATCAGTTAATAAAAAAGGGTTATAAAAATAAAAAAGAGTATAAAAAATATCTGATATGATTTGAACTTAGGCAAAATATTTCACGTTGCAATAAGGAAGTGTGCTATACAAGCAGCACCACAGACAATATTCAAGAAATTTTTTCTAATCCGTGATTGAATGATGAATGAATGAATGAAATTGAATTTGAATGGTTTCAGTAAAACGAGAAAAATTCAATTTTTCAATTTGACTGTGACACTGAAAATCCTACCGTCCCCCTCGCATTTGTATGTTGCCCACAAGCTGCTTCCTCACAACATTTTCTAAAAATCAGAAATTGAAGAATTTGTCTGATGTTTCCTTCAGAAAGGCGAATTGGCAACATGACCTATTAGCGAGTTAAAATAATATTTATATTTTTTTCATATTATGCACTATATATGGCATTAAATTATAAAATTTATATAAAATTGACATGTATATGAAATCATTAACTACTTCTATATACTCTAAGCACACTTCATATAGTACTTTTATATGTTTACTTATTATCATTAATCATAGTTTGTTGATTTAGTTCATTTTATCTAAATACGACGCTATGAAAATGCAGCCCAATCGGTAATTGCAATATTTCAAAAGAGCATAAGTCAAATTTCAATAGTAAACCACTGCAAAAAGGACAAACGAGACAACATAGCCGACCGACATTGTCGTAAAATCAGAGAACGTAAATGAATAGAGGAGCAAATGTTAAATGAAATCTTTTTGAGTACTAATTTGTAATTCCAGATGAGGGAACATCGAAAAATATAACTTCGAAAAATAAAAATACACCACGCAATGTGCGAAATGCTATAAATAGACACAACGAATATTCCTAAATGAAAAATCGTTGCGCATACCTATTTAGACTTATGTTTTCAATTTCTATGATATGACAAATTTATAATAATGAAAAGCCTTCTGAATTAAAAATCTGTATTATCGGTAAAAACCAAAGAATTCATAATAAAATAAACATTTAATAGGCAATTTTTCCAACTTATGTACGTGTCTTGCGTGAGCAATTGCTTATTGAGCAAAGGATAACAATAAAACGGTGGCTAAGCGGCCGCGTTTCCACTTTTGTGGTGGCTAAGGTCGTAAGCGGGAAGGGGAGGGATTGTATTTAATTTTTTATTGTATTAATTGGAATCTAAGCATATCTTAATTCAATTCCATTAATAGCATATTTTACTTCCTGCGATAATTAAAATATTTCAGGAAAATATGTTCATATGTTTAGGTTTATTGAATATTTCCTTATTATGCGTATTTACACAAATGTGATAATCACACATACATTCTTAAATACACGTACGCTGATGCTTGCTTCTTCTTGCCCCGCACAAACATTGACTTTTGTCCACACTTCTTGCTTTTTGCGAGAAACAAGTTGAACGATCGCAGGCAAGGAGGGATTGGGGCGCACCGCCACATAATTATTTCAGATATATATTTTATTTATCGAATTCAGTTTAAAAACGATTATAGGTATGAATTTATGTGTATTTATATATACGTATATTTTTACGTATATTATTATTATATTACGAAAATAATTCATAAATGCATCAGTATTTTCCAATACAAATTAAGCAACATATTAATATACTATGAGCCCTCACTTGGCACGCCTATTTGCATGGTGGCAAGCCAACGAAATAACGGCGAGTTCGCGCGGACATTGTGTTGTTGAAAAAAAACCAAATGACGACTTTGCCGACAAACATACATATTTACATACGTACATACATACATATGAGCTCGCATACATATTGACACCAAATTGTGTGAATCGTCGCGGAGTTGACAAAATTTTTTTGAATGGACAATTTTGCGACAATGTCGGTCGGCTATGTTGTCTCGTTTGTAAGTATGAAATAATGATAATAAGTAAACATATATACTATATGGAGTGTGCTTAGAGTATATAGAAGTAGTTAATAATTTCATATATGTACATGTCAATTTTATATAAATGTTTTAATTTAATGCCATATATGTATAGTGCATAATATGAAAAAAATTAAAATATTATTTTAACTCGCTAATAGGTCATGTTGCCAATTCTCCTTTCTGAAAGGAACATCAGACAAATTCTTCAATTTCTGATTTTTAGAATCGTTGCTAGTAGGCAGCTTGTGGGCAAAATACAAATGCGAGGGGAATGGTAGGATCAGTTGTAAAATTGAAACTTCTTCAATTTTACTGAAGACATTCAAATTCAATTTCATTCATTTTTATTCTCGCGCATTTGCGGTGTGTTTTACTAGGCGCACAGAAAAAATAGCGCGCCGCAGAGTTATAAACGAACGCACTTTGCTTTGAAGCAGACGCACGTTCCTTATAGGGATAGGAAAGTCGACTCTGACTTTGGTCAAGAATCGATCTTTAACTTAAAATAATCGACTTTTTAGAATCGAGTTTGAATGCTTCAAGTCAATTAAATCGATTCTCACTCGATGTCTTCGACTTTTCTGACATTCGATGGTAGTACAGTTTGTATCGTTTTCATGTACCGACTCTTTTATATTTTTTTATACCTTATCGTTAAACTAACCTCTTTCTGATGACAAAAATAAACATCATCGCTGGTATCCTTGGTAACCGTTTTAAATAAGCATAGTATAACATAACTGACGGAAATATAATTGTTTAATTTTTAAAAAAGTCAACTTGAGAGTCGACTTTTAGCACTGATTAATCGACTTTAAGAGTCATAAAATTCCAAGTCGACTCTAAAATTGAAAGTCGACTTTTCGCGCGCTGTTACCATCCCTACTTTGAAGCAGACGCACGATCCTTTTGAATGAATTTGTTGTCGTTGTAACATGAAATACTTAGAAAATATGCCGCGAGTTCGCGATTTTTTGGGAGAGACATATTGAGGTACATACATATGTACATATGTGTACATACATATGTACATATGTGTACATACATATGTACATATGTGTACATATATGCAAATATATTTGGACATGCGAATGAAGGAAGGGAATTTCAAGAATATTCACATATAGACATATGAACATTTGAAGCAAGTAAACAACAATAGCTGTTTGAGTTCACAGATTAGAAAAAGTGGCTTAAATATTGTCTGTGGTGCTGCTTGTATAGCACACTTCCTTATTGCAATGTGAAATATTTTGCCTAAGTTCAAATCCTATCAGATATTTTTATATACTCTTTTTTTTTATTTTTATAATCCTTTTTATTAAATGATATTTTTATTATATTTTCATATTATATCCCTCATTATTTATATTTTCTTGTCGGAAGTCAATTACTTTCGTTTTTATTATTTCAATTTTTGTTTAAGGGCATACCAAAGAACATCTGTGCATATGTATGTGTATACATTTTGCTTATAGAGTGGTGTAGTTCGTTGCGTAAATTGATAGGATGGTGAAATTTTATTTTCGAACTTGCGCGTTTTCGATGTTCCCTCATCTTAATTAACATTTTAGTACAGCTAACATTTGCTCCTTCTCTATTCATTTACGTTCTCTGTTATTATGTTGCTTAATTTGAACTGAAAAATACTGATGCATAAATAATTTTTATTTATTTTCGTAATATAATAATAATATACGTAAAAATATAA